TCATGCTCTGGAGAGGATAATGATGACCTTTAATGACCCCCACGCTAGGACTAATGATGACCTTTAAAGACCCTCACATTTAATCTAACTATTTTTCAGTCCCTGGTTTCAGCAGTGTTGTTTTCCCGGCTGTATTTCCCAGCTTTATAGTCACTGGTGCCTGGCTACTTCTTCACATGGGTCATTCTGCCAGCTACAGATGTATGTCCTAAATGTACCAACATGTGGTGCTTCCACCCAGCACATCAGCATGCCTCCATGTGTGTGTATATCAGAGGAGAGATGGCCTTGCTACCATCCTGCAGTGGGAGAGAGGTCTTCTCCACTTCTCCCTAAGCAGTGCACCAAATGTGAAGATCAGCTGAGAAAGTTGGGACTGTTTAGCCTGGAGAAGAGAAGGCTGCGTGGAGACCTCATAGCAGCCTTTCAGTGTCTGAAGGGGGCATATAGGGATGCTGGGGATGAACTCTTCATTAGGGACTGTAGTGATAGGACAAGGGGTAATGGGTTAAAACTTAAACAGGGGAAGTTTAGATTGGATATAAGGAGGAAATTCTTTCCTGTTAGGGTGGTGAGGCACTGGAATAGGTTGCCCAGGAAGGTTGTGAATGCTCCATCCCTGGCAGTGTTCAAGGCCAGGTTGGATGAGGCCTTGGGTGATATGGTTTAGGGCAAGGTGTCCCTGCCCATGACAGGGGGGTTGGAACTAGGTGATCTTAAGGTCCTTTCCAACCCTAACTATTCTATGATTCTATGAAGCCCTGCCAGTGGGTGCCCCTGAACACTGGATTGTTTCCTCTCCTTAGCAACTATAGTGAATGCTTTGAGTCCACTTTAATGAGGACTTTGCTGAGGATGTGAACGAGTGGCTGGCATTCTCCTATCTGACTAGAACGTGTGAACAGGAGGTGCTCTGTCACTCTGTCACCAGACAGGAGGTGTCTCTGGTCATTCACGACCATGAGGTATCTAAAGGACTGCCAGATCCATCAGCCAGGGCTTAGGACCCCGTTCTGGGCCCACCAGGCATTTTGTTTTAATCCTAAGGAATACATTAAATAACATGTATTCCTTTCCCTGCATTTCATGCTCATGTTGAAACTGCTGATGATGAATCCAAAGTGATCTCTGCCTGCTGTGATGTACATGCAGTCATTTAACCACAGGATCCAAAGAGTCACCCAGGTGCAATACCAATTTCACCTCATCCACCTCCAGAAGTCCTGCTCTATTTAGGAGCTCTGTCCCTCCAGCCCTTCTCCTGCTCTATGACTCCTCAAACCCCACCCTCCCAAGCTTGCAATGTGGGCAAGGGAGGACAGAAATGAAATATCATTCCCTGCCCCTATTTTTCCCAAGCTGGGTGAGCATCAGCTTGAGGGTTCCTTAGCTCAGCAGCATTAGCATGTTTGAGAGGAGGATGCTCTGTATCTAGAGTGTAGTACGAGCAAATGCTTCCCACTCTGCTGGGGACTGTTTGAGACTGTGTTCTAGCACTGCCTTTGAAGAAGACAGAAATTACACTGATAGGTACGCGTAAGAATGTCTTTGCAGGCAATGTAACAGCTGGAATGTCAATTATGGCTGCATATTGCCTAACTAAGGGCAGACTTTGGTCCATAAACTTTTTGTATGTCTGTAATTTATGCTTTTTGCATTGTGTAAAAGAAATCCCAATCTATCAGCCGTGGTGTTGATTGCAAAATACCTCCTCCTGTAATTACTCAGATTGTTTATGCCATGGTAATGTGTCCTTAGACACTGAGCTGTGTAAAAGGATTGATACACCCCAAAAGTGTAAATGGCAATTAGGGAGTTTCATCAGGTGCTGAGTAAGACGGGATGTTTGTGACACTTTAATGCTAACCTTCTCTCTGTTTCTCTGTCTTGTTGAAACACTCGGATCTCAGGTGTTGGGGGAAACCTGCTTAGGGACAGCTCAATGCAAATCAATATAATTACTATCTAATATGCAAAGTAAGCAGCTCTCTTGTATGAGTCATGTGTTTCCTTTGTAGTAGAATTGTAATAAAGAAACTAAGATCTACAAAGTGCTCACTGTAAAGATATCATGAGTGGGTTTACACATACAGTGTCATGCCTTTGGCACATGGCAGCAGCAGGATTGGCCATTAGCTACAGAGAAAAAACATCCAAATGTAGATAAAGGACTTACATGGAAGCACAGCCTATTGAAATGGTGCAATTGAAGCATGGCCTGGCATTCCCTGGTACGTGTATGGAGTATATCCTCCCTTACACAGCTCTTGAAAGAGTAGATTTTCTGCTCGGTACTACTCACTGCTTATTTTTCACTGACCAGATCAGGTCCTTTGCTGGTGTGTGCTGGTTAAGCTACTGCCAATGGCATCACATCACTCTGCACCCCCCAAATAATTTGCTGTAAATCAGATAACAAACAACCTTTCTCAATGGCATGGCCAGCAGCTGTCCTGGGGACCTGACTGAGTGCCCGTCACTACCTGGTAAGGTGAAGAAAGAGGTGATGAAGCATTTATTCTGCCTTTCTGACTGATGAGAACCCTACCATAGTGGTAGGCCTGGCAAAGTTAAATGAAGTGCTATCAAGAATCTGAAATTGGGGAACTGAACATGAAACTTAAGCAGAAGGTAAAACGGCACAGGAGCAGCAGCAGGAGCTGTGGACAGCATGGTTCAGTTGCAAAAATAGAGGAGGAAGGCTGAGATCAGTTGCAGAAGCATTATTCTGAACATTTGGTAAGTGCAGCACTTAATGACACACACCTGATGTTAGATACCTACAGGCATTACTGAACTTTGCCCTAGGTACCTCTGCAAAGGATTTGGAAGTGAAGGAATTGATGGCATGACTTGTACACGTTTCCCAGATGTGCTTTGATTCCTGCTGGACAATGAGTCATGGAAGATGGTGGCACATAGATTTACAGTATTTCTGCATGGGTGAAAGAATCTCTGAGTTTTAAATCATGGACCTGGGGTGCTTCATGCTTACTGCATTTTTAGAAGACGACAGTTTACACTGTAGTGCGTATTTGTGTTATAAGAAATACTTCTGTTATCTTTGTTTCACTAAAATACTGTGTAGTCGGGAATGACAGTTGCTTTTGGGGTTGGTTCCTCAGCTACTGTTGAGCTCATAGTTAGGAGGTCTAATGACATTTTTAATAATTTCAAGGCATTTAAGGAGTACTTTTTAATTCTCTGTTTAAGGTTAATCTCCAAAAGTCATGTGTGATTTAAAAAAGAATAAGATGGATATTTTTACACAGTTATAACCAGACATCTACCAGGTCATTGGATACAGGAGCATTTTGGAAACTCTGCCATCTTTCATGTCAGCCTAGCACAGTGATACCGATCATTCGTTAGAACTCACCACACATCCTGTTGTTACAACAGCCCTGGCTTTGCTCTCCCATGCTTACCTTCACAGAGTACAGCCAGCAGAACCCTGCCAAAAAGCATCTTGACCCACACAATTGCACTGAGCAATTCTTTTTGTTTATCTCCATCTGAAAATCTCTCATTCACATGAAATGTTGAACACAGGACTCTGGTGGTTCTCTTTAATGCTTGATGCTAACCTCAATTCTTGTACATTCCATCAGCTCAGGCTCGAACTTGTCTGCACACTTTTTTTCTCCAAGTTACCGTGGTATGTATATAAACAGATGATAGTGTGAACTTATTTTTTTAAAACTTCTCTTTATTTTTACATTCAATGCACGAGGACAGACAAGATGAAGATTCATGACAAGGTACAATGCTGTATGCCGTCCTCAAAACAGTTAAAAGATACAGTTTTTATGAGTTTAAAAAAGTATTTTAGAAACCTTGTATTTCCAAAATTCCTCATTACAGAAAATTCAAATTGTTTAGAAAAGGTGAGTTCAATATCCTTGTGCATTAAGCTGTGTTATGTAAGTATGTAGGTGGTTTTTGTCTATAAGAAATCTGTCTCTGCATTGCTAACAATCTTTACATAACCTATTGATGGAGCCAACAGCCTCCATAATATGCAGTATACACAGTTACAAACAACTTGAAAATTTATATTACAAAATATACAGTAGTTCCTTTTTACATTTTTATAGTTAAACATTGCATAGTTTTCAAATATGTAATATATAACACAATCAAGAGCCTTTTCCTGTATAACTTATGAAAAATTCTGTACACTCAAATAATTATAAATAAAGTGTAAATATCTTTTGGTAAGAGCAGGGGAGAAAATATGCCAGGACATGTTGTGCGGTCAAATGTTAAGCAGAAATCTTTGTCGGAATCTGCCTAAAACAATGGCACAATATGGCCTAGATCAAGGAAAGAGGAGTGTAAGAATAGATCATAAGGGAAATGTTACAATGAGGAACCATGATGTGTCTAACAATTTTTACCCTGCTTCTTTTGTAAGAACTGCTTTCCCACAGTTACTATCACTGTGCTTGACGGCTTAACTTCAAGATGCAAAATAAGGTGCTCATTGTTTAAGAAACGAGTAAAAGTAGATTAAAATGTTTCCTGTTTCAATGGGTGGTCAATGGAAACTTAAGATACCTTGGGCAGAATTCTGGATATTTTTATCATATTTTTCCCAAAGAAACAGAGCATGAGAAATGCACACTGGGATTTAAAGAAATCATTCTGAAATCATCCAGAATTGTGAAAATAAAATGAAGAAGTATTATTGAAGATATCAAAATTCCGATTTAAAAATGAGATGCTGACAAAATTCTGCTTCGACACAATGAGGGACAAAGACGATAATTTCTAAAATAACAGTTTGGCATAATTCTGCTCTCTGCTGCTAAACCCCAAAAGAGCAGAACTACACCAGAACTAGATTCTTTTGGAAACTCACTCTGATTCTAAGCATTTCGTCACTGGCTCACAATTACAGAAACAGTTGGAACTTCAGTATGAATGCAATCTGAAATACCTTTTCAGCAACATAGTTTGCCAATCTGGATGTCAGGTTAAAAAAAAGTCAATTATCTTCTAAAATATATGTATTTACCTGATAGCCGAATTCAACCTCCTGAATCCCAGAGCTCTGCAGAAAAGAAACTACTCAAAAGTAGATGTGTTCTAGCAGCACTGAGTGTTAAACTAGGGGTCTTCTCAGCATTTCCATTACAAATTTAAGCTACAACTCAGACACATAAACTGGTTTTAAAGGACACTTGGCCTACACTCAGCCACCTTTTAACACCTTTTAACATTAGTGGTTGGACATCAGCTGTTATCCCATAGTCCCTGACGTCTTGGCTACTGAAGGCCAGCAGAAGTACTCAGTGCATCTTTGAAATGCTCTTTTCTGGCATTGAAATTGTGCCTTTTGTCAGCCCATCATTCAAATAGGCTCACAAGCATCTACTAAAACACCAGTAACAGTATGATTTGAGCACAAGCAAGGTCCCACCAAGTGCTACACTACCTGTGGCTTGACTACACATAGTAGTAACTACACAACTTATGGATTTTACTTGGGATTTGGATTGCTACATACAATTGCCAGTGAAATTCACATTATTTCCAAGGAGGGTGGTTCAGAGCACAAAATGATGGTGCAGAGTGAATACTATTTTCTCTCCAGTGAGGATTACCACAAGTCCTGTGCCATAATCTACTCTCCAGGTTCCCTCTTTTGTAGCTCTAAAGCCAGTTTCCACCGCTACTCTTAAATACCATTTTGTGGCTCAGCCAAAGGGAACCACAGTTGCAAACAGGTCTCCCCACCTAAGCTCAGGCTTGTGTGGCTGTCTCCTCCCCTACATAGGCCACTTGTCCTTCCCCCTACACCATTCCTTGGCTTGTGGGGTTACATAGTAGGAGAGGACCATCTAGAAAGAGGTATGGCCACACAACCATATCCTGAGTCTATCAAGCCCTTTGGTAGCCACCTAGTGTCTCCAAACCCAGTGCTTAACCTTCAGCAGGCAGAGGGGTGAGCAATTACTTTTATGGCATTAAGTTTGAGATAGTAAAAGATTATAACTCCTGCACCCAGTGTTAAAGAAGACAGAGAGGGCTGCAAGTGGGCTTACGGACACCCTCATGCCAGAGTAGGATTCCCAGAGCTTCTGAAGGATTTCCCAGCACTTCATTTTCCTTCACACAAATAGAATAAATTTTCTCCGTACTGGGAAAATGACTGTTTTCCTTTCTGTCCACTGCAAACAGGCCAATAACAACATTAGAATTCTCCCTGTTTTTTTTTAATTTCCAGAGCTTTTTAGATATTATAAAGCAACTTTTGCTGAATACGCCAGGAGGTCGTAAAGGCTGCTCTACAAGTGCATTGTTTGTTTGTTCAATTAAGTTTGGACTGATCACGACTCTTTTCATCCCTCTTTTCATGGGACATCGGGATTTCTTTTGTTTGCTACTGATAGCATTGGATGAAGTTACCGCATAGTAGATCCTCTGTAAGCAAATCTGTCATTAGCTTTTCAACTGATCATAGATAGTCTAGGGACTCTGTCAAGCCTGTTTGACTCCATTCCTTGATGAGTGATGTATCACTGACTGCAGGAACCTAACAAAATGTTCACTCTGTCCTCAGTGCATTGTCCAAGGTGGTTTTCAAGAGCCTGACTGTCCTACGCTGTATCTCTGCTAATACAGGTTGATACACTCCTATAAGGCTGTGTTGTTTGTGCCTGTTTTTTCAACACAAGCTGTGGCTGGTGCCCTTCTTCCACCTCTTTCTTCATCAGCCATCACAATGGTGTTTTCGTAAACCTCCATAGTTTTCAGTTGCTTGTCTTTGGCACCCTCCTGTTCCGTATTGACTTTACAACACTTGCAGAAGCCACAGCAGTGTTTCCCACAAAAGGCAAGTGAAGACATAATGATATTGTCCCAGGGCTCTAAGGAGTGCAGCCAGGTGGGTAGGAAATCCCAGTTTTGGAGCTTTTCAGGCAATGAATGTGGTCGCCTTTTCTGCATAATATTAATTACAATCACAGCAATAAAAAGAGCACTCAGGGGAAGACAAACACCCAAAAGGACTGCCCAGCCTGCCAATGACAGACCAAATACAAACAAAGGCAAAAGAAAGAAGCAGACGAGAAGATAAAATATAGCAAACCATCTGTACTGAGCTGTTATGTTTCCCAAGGTCTTGGACATGCGGATTGGCAGCCGGGTAATAGGTAGCGGGTAAAACAGAATAATCCCAGAGACATTGAAGAAAAAGTGGCACAAGGCAATCTGAAAGCAAAAATGTTTGAGCAGTTCATTATTTAAAATGCCTTTAAGTGCTCCTATACACATTATTATAACTTCCAGTTGCACTAAGACCATAGTTTCTCTTCCCTTGCCCCCTACTGTTTTTCTTCTCCTTCACTGCAAGGCCTTTCCTAGCAGGAAGCAAGGACTCAGTAATACCTCACAGATTCTAAAGATCACTGCCTACAAACAGAGGATAACATCTGGACACAAGACAGGCTTAGAGGGTATGGCTTATCTCCCTGCAGATGGAGAAGTCTAAAAATGCAGCTTTCAAATACAAGAAATGAAGTCCATCAGAAATAAAGCTGACAAAACAAACAGCTATCAGAAAACAGTATTGTTGTTATTAAGGTATGAGAATCACATGAGAACTGTTCATTATCGGGTTATGCATCCATAAGTTATTAATGAAAAAATGGGAAGTGTGAATCAGGTATTGCATACAGGCTATTGAGAAAGTATTAATGGTACAAACATGAATTTTACAGGAATTATCCAAAAGTTTATAAGAGATTCCTGGAATGTAGCTCTGTCCTGGACTTTTACAATTGTTTGATTCACATACTTCAAATTTGGTTTTTTTTTTAATAAGTGTGAAAAGACACCTACTTCCTAAAGCTTTCAGAAGTCACTTAGACATAATAAGCATATATGGAACAAAACGGTGTATTCCCTGCTCACCATATCTTATTTTCATTCCATAACTGTTATCAGACTAAAATGAATATGAAAGTGCAGGGGTTTATTTTTAAATTACATTATAAAACCAGCAAGTAATCATGAAATCTGAGCTTGGTCTAGATAACATCATCTCATGATTATATCTGTTCTATCATGCCTGAGGACAATAAAATGACTACTGTAATTTTCTTGATTTATTGTGGCTAGTAAAAAACATTTGTCCTATTCACAAAGGAAAACTTCATTATCTTTTCACTCTTTGATGTAAAGGGTTCATTCAAATGTTATCTGCTGGCTGGAATGTTCGTTACTGGGTGGTAAATGCGAGCCAAGAGCCAGGCTGCCTACTTTTCAAAGAGTCTGAGGTGCAGAGAGACAAGGAATTCAATAAAACCCAGTCAGATTAGATTTACAATGAGAAAATAGATGCCATGATGCTCACTGCAACCTCGGGTAGGTAGCTGGCTTGACATCTTAAGGGTTGTATGGTTCTCACCTAGCTTACAGAAATCTTTACACACTGTATGAGCAGAGTTAGGGTCATGAGGAGGTAACTTACAGAAATTGGTTACCCTCTTAGGGGACTATCTAAGAGGGTTGTCAGGGATCTGGGCACTGAATTTCAAGCTTCAGAGACTGCATGCTCAGGGGTCAAGTGACCCACCCTGTGTCAGTTCTGAATTAATCAGATCAAACCCAATTTACAAAAGTAAGATTTTACTGTATATTGACATTCTGAGGTTTAATACAAGCTTTTTGCTCTAAGCAGTTGAAAGGAATGAGCTGTCATAAATAGAACATACAAAATCAGGCATGACATTCATGGCATATTTGCATCAGAGCCAATTTTGTCAGGTTTATCTTCAGAAAAGTTACAACTTCCAAGCGAAGTCAAGGAAGGAAGCATCAGTTTATACTGACCTGTAATGAATATTTTAATGTACTTCCTGGACTTGCTAAAGCAGCAAGTATAGCTGTTGTGGTTGTGCCAATGTTAGCTCCTAATGTGAGGGGATAAGAGCGCTCAATGCTTATAACACCAATGCCTAGGAGAAAAAAAAACAGGATTGAGTGGTTTCAGAATGGTGGAGAAGATAAAATATTGGGATAAAGAATACAGTATTGACAACTTACCAACAAGGGGTGTAATAGCAGATGTGAAAACAGAACTACTTTGGACAACAAAGGTCATACCAGCCCCTGCAAGCATAGCCAGGTATCCAGCTAACCAAGTGAAAGGAAATGGGAAATCTAAAAAGACAGAGGGAGAACATCATCTTCAGCATAACACAATGCTCTATGTAACAGTAACACAGCAGTGAAAGGACTGTTAAGCATTTCATATGTAAATGTATTGTTTGCATATTGCCACTTAACTGACAATTTTACATTACAGTCAGTCACTACTTTAATCAACCCTGTTCGCTGTACTCCTTCTCTAGCCTTCCACAACTGAATATACTTTAAGACAGATACTAGACTAGGTAGACATCTGTCCTGACCCAGGGTAGCATTTATATTTAGGTACCAGAAATGTTTCCACAGAGGTCAAAACAAAACTTTCTTGGTGGCTCGAGTGCCTTCATTTTAGCAACCAGGCACCTGCTGTATGGATCAATCTTCAGAAAGCATTGAAAACCATCCTGAGAAAATCAGGTTGCTTGTTCCAACCAGCTTCAAACACCTCCTAAAAATTCACTTGTCAACCCTTGCAAAGAAACGCTTATTACACTGATCAGAAAAACCAGGCACAATGGTCCCCTGTGAGGGGACTATGATTAAGCCAAGAAGTGGGGCCTTAATCAGTCAAGAAGACACAAATGAACAGAGTAGATCACGAATGAACAGTAACCAACAGCTGATTACTTTCTATCCCTCATTTTTGATTCAGGTCGTGTTCTTTGCCCAGGAGAACAGAAGAGAGCACTGGGACCACTTTGCTGCCTTCCCCATTTCTGTGACCCCTCTCTTCAACCACTACCAGAGATGGGCCAGGACTACTTTTCTCTTCTGTGGATTCTAACTTCTCCATTCAAGGGAGGCTGAAGAAAAAGCAGCCAAGTGAAAACAACTCAGCGTTTGCACTCACTGGATCCAGGATGAAAAAACACCTGGAGACCACAGGGAAAGATGGAATGTATTTGGGGCTGCCTTATCCTACAGAAGAAAGGGTTAAGCAGTGGAACAGGGTAATCAAAGGTAATTAGATCATTAATCACTACAAACTTTTTTCCAACTTGCTTTAAAAGAAACATGCAGGCTCTGTGCCAATGCAGGCAATCACCATTTCAGCACTTCACTGCTATCTTTTGAGGATGGGAACACTGCATTTCTAACAGCTAATGATTATACATCAAGAAACAGAGCCTGGACTTTGGCCTCTGTTGCTGTTAATCTGCTGCAGTTAATCTGTTTGCTAATTGATTTAAAAAAAAAAAAAAAAAAGAAGAAAATAACATGCTTGGGAGGAAATAAAATAAGGTGTGTGTATAATTTTAGTTTGATAATTTCTGTTTTATTTAAACTATTCTGTAATAGCTTCCAGAGCAAAAGATATCAATAAATGTGCTCAGAGTCCTTGTCATTCCTGAAAACAATCTTCAGGAAAAGCAGATAATTACCAGTGTTGATTGTCTTCTTGATAACACTTGCCACTTGTCCTTTAAGCACAGAGTTTAATAGCTTAACAATCATCACCAAACAGGAACACAGAACAAGCAGGGACAAAGCCAGAAGGATGAGACCAATGGCGAGATCAGGCAGGTCTGCTTCTGCAAAGAGATGCCGGCCTGAAAAAGGAAAGGAAAATGAATTGGCCTGGCCACATATTTGCTGCTGATCCCAAGCCCAGCTCTGGTTTTCATATATGCCTCTAAGAAAAGAGGGTCAAAGCACACACAGCTTGAGGGGGTGATGCAAGGAGTTAAAATTCCACCTCTCTTGCTCCACAAAAGCCATATCAGAGGGTGGCAAGAGGGGCATTTATATTGACACACTTACAAAATACACAGCAGGCACCCCTGCAGGGCAGGCAGGAGATGGGTGACCATGTGCAAGGGGGAGGAATACAACAGTGTGAGGACATTTTAGTGTGCTTTGAGGTGAATGGTGGGTTGGCTCTTCCCAGAGATGGCTGCATGCCTGAGAAGGGCTGTTGAAACTCCTGAAGGGCATTGCATATGAATGAAGATATCCAACCAACCATTGCAGCAAAGTAACTGTAGCTCCAAGTCACCTGAACAGCGAGGGCGACATGATACTGGAGACCTCAATTTACTGATATCAGGGAGCATGGAAAGAGATCCATCAGCAGCCAGATATCATAATGATGCTGGTAACTCCAGCTGTGCAGCTATAACAGCTCTGACTACACATGCAGTAGTACCTTCTATCCATATACAGGTGATTGCTTCTCGATAAACTTCTGGTCTGTTAACACCATCAGAAAGCTATATACATTTATAAAGATATTATCAAAAGACAACCAGTTCTGCCACTTACATTTACTGATATATTCTGTTTCAGTTACATTCTTGATGGTCCATGTCACATTTCCTTCACTCCAGCAAAAGTCAGGGGATGTGCAGTTTTCTGATGGTGGAATTGTGACATTCTGCAGTGTCTACAAATTGCCAGACAAAGCAGATAGTTCAGTCACCCTTCATTAAGAGCTCATGCAAAGTTCTAGGTTTTTACTACACCAAGCATTCACCAGTAAAGGTGAATTTGTTAGCTGGGGTGTCAGCTGGCACCACACTAATGACAAGGCAAAATATTTTTGCATTCTTAAAACAATTGGGCTGTTATCCAGGTCAGTCAATACAACATTTAAAGATTAAAATATTCCCCAAACCTATATTGTATTAACCATAGCACCAAGTCATCTGTACGTTAACTACTGATGTCAGGGTCTGTACAGTCATTGCCCAGCTTACTTGCACCAAAGACAGACCTCTTTATTGTCATTTTAACAGCAGTTAATGGTCTGTTGAGTACTGCACAGGACCATAATTCAGAATACTACAATACTAGTAGAGCTTTTGTCCTGCATGAGCACAAGATCCTCACACTGCCTTGCCCTGCCTCAGTTTCTCCATCTGCTACTACTTTCCTTTTAAAAGCTCAAGTGCTATCTAAAAGCTAATTACTAGTGCTCTGATTAGCATTACTATTACAGAGCTGAACCTGAATTTCTATATACTGCAATAAACCCTTCCTTATAGGAGCTCCTAGCCCAGACATATTGCAATCTGATGCTAGGTTCCTAAGTCCTTATGCAAATTAAGGGTTCACTAGCTGAACTGTACTTCCCCATAAGAGCAGCTAAGAGCTAAACGGACTCTGAATCACACTGCTGAACAGGAGATATCTCTAAGACATGCTTCAGTGATTCTTTTTGCAGAAAGAAGGAAATCAAAATTGTATTTTCTCGCTGGACCCTGCCCACAGGCACCTGTATTCTTATCCCTCCTCCAGCTGATGTAGATGGGCAAAGCCTGGGGTGGGTCCAGTGCCCTCACACTTTCAGGGAGGTCTCCAGCATATCAGCTTTTACAAACACAACAGAGTGTTGCTTCTTGCCCTTTTTTCTCCATACATCTGAGTTTCAAAGCAGCTACTTTGGATCAGAATATTTATCCTTATATTTTGCTTTAAACATGTGGGATCTGCGTGCATTTATCCCTGCCCTAAGTCTGTTTTATTATTTTTGCCAGATGTGGGTTTAACCCGCTAGGAATGTAAATCCTTTAAATGATCTTTCTCTCCCATGACCAAGTGCAAGTCAAGCTTGTAAGGGTTTCATGTGTTTCTGTAATTTGACTACATGTTTGGCCAGTACATACACAGCCAAAATATAGACAAATACAGAAGAAAGTGTGTATATGCAAATGTAACCTTCAGCCTACGCTTTCTGTGTACTTGCCTGTCTTCTAAAGGTGGGGGGGCTGTGCAGGGCTCAGGGGCTCAGACCTCACTGGGAGCCAGGCTGTGCCTGCCCAGCCAGTGCGGCAAAGGGGTAACCAAGTGTGAGCCAGGGGCCTGGAAGCTGTATGCCTGCCCAAGCATCATGCCTCCCCTGAGATGGATATACCCAGCTCCTCGGTTGCGTAACCTGAGCGGAGTTTCACATTAGCACAGCTCTGTTCCTGGCACTATCTCTCTAGCTAGCATTTCAGTGGCCATCCAGACTGTCATTCAATAGCAGCTGGGCTCCTCTAAGTACCCAAGCACTTAATTTTAACCTCTGCTGTGTGTCTTTAAGTGTCTTCCGCCTCAGGAATTCAAGAATTACTTTTCTATACATGTCAACAAATAGAATAGCCTAATTAGAGATCCAAGGAATATTTAATGCTCTAATTGTCAGTTAGCTGAACAGTGCAAACCATGCACTCAGCTCCACAGTTTACCAAAATACTCATTGGTGTCAATCTGGGCAACAGATTCCTTCAATCTGCAATGTTGCTTGAGTGAAGAACAACGGGACATAGTCCCACAGAGGCTTTCTCCCAGGGCAGTTTTCCAAGAAGGCTGCAAATAACCAGCTGCCACCAACCAGATCACCCTAACACATGTAAGACTAATGGTGCTTAGATCAACAGATAGATGGTGGGGGAAAAGATATTTTCTTTGGCTTATAGTGCAGATTTTTTCCACTTTCAGGGAGTCAGTAGGAGTATCAGGATTGAAAGGCATTTGGATGTGAAAGGAGTAAAAGGTTTGGCTCCAAACCACCAGTTTGATAAGCAAGGGCCTGCACGGTACTGAAAACAGCCAGGTCAAGCTCACCACTGGTCTGACATCCTTGGTTTAAGTGGAGCAAGAACTACATTAAATTGTTTTCATTCTTTTTCTGGTGCTGCAAAAAAAATACCTTATTTAAAAGCCTAATTTCACAACAGATCAGTCATGTATTTCCTGAGGAACCTGACAATTAATTTAGCACAATACTCACCACATTGGTTTCAGTTACACACCAAGTCTTTACCAGGCTTTTGTTTTTTGCTGCTTCATCATTTGTAGCAATTGCATTTATTACTGATTTATCAAGCTTAAAAAGAAAGAAGAAAAAAAAGCGCATTACACCAACTTACATCACACACTTCTGTTCAGCTCTACTCAAATAACTCCCTTTGGAAGCTCAACCATGTAATGCCTGCATGACCATCTCTAATGCTGGAGCTGCTGCCCAACAGGCTTTACTCTCAGTAAAGGGGACAGCTCTATGCACACGAACACTGTGTCTCATTCTCCCCAAATCAGCCACTACCTCATCTCATTGCTTCTGTTTAAACAACTATACTGACACAACTGCCTAGATGCATTTCCTGTCATTTTAGGACCTGTGTTCATCCCCTCTGGCCTCCAGCTGTCCCTCTAGATATGTGCAAGTTTCTGCTAATTTCAATGTCTTCCCCTCAGGTCCTGGTTGAGCTAGGTTGTCTCAGTGAGTACTATCTGCCAATGTCTAGGCAACAGGCTGCCATCCCATCCATCCCACGTCACTGTATTTGTGAATGTGGGGGAAATAGAAACAGGAAATACAGAACTGGAGCTTTATGAAATGTGGATAAAAAGAAGAATCCGCCTGCTAATGAGTTTTACCCCAAGGACACACAGAAGGGAGTGGGAGCTCCCCCCTCTCCTCCATATTCAGAGCATTTTGATTAGCTGTGACTGAACCAAGTAAGCAGCTTCCTTGAAGTGAGAAGGAGCTTACCTCAATGATGAGCTTTGTAAAAGGGTCTGTGATAACTTTTAGTAGCTCAGGGGCATCGTCACCACTTTCAAGATGAAAAGAATCAACTATAACATTGGTGAGATGGTAAAGATAGCCAGAAATAACTTCAACAGGCAACAGCGCAAACACAGCGAGCCAGTTAAAGAAATCATGGATTGTTGCCCCAGCAAAGGCCCTAAGAGCAGAAAGTAAAAACAGAGCTTCTTTTAGTAAAACAACATGTGCACAACATCAACTAAATATGAAATCATAGAGGTGAGAATGAAGCCCATTTTGATGGCAATCATTTAATTTCTGGGGTCACAGGAGGTGGCTGCTTTGCTATAGAACACTAAGCTTTCTCCACACCATTGACCAAGTGGAAGAGCCATTCAGGTGAGTGAAACAACACAAAGTAGAAAAGGCAAAAGTGGTCCTTAACAGGAGGCTGCCAAGTGCACTTGTCTGCAGAAAGAAGTGCCCGTACAGTCTGCTTTTGTTTTGCCTCTCACCCATTTTTGGTACACTTTTTATACTGAGCCATGTGTTGCCTCTGGGACCTGATCTGCCCTACCTGTGGGGGAAGGTGGCTCTTTGCAGCCCTCTCGCATGGTCATGCAAACGCCTGGTGAACAGCTCCCTTCCAGCTTCTCCTCCACAGCCTGAGGAGCCACGGCTCTTGTTTCAGAGGCGTTGGCTAAGTGTATTTTATGACTGGTATGCCATAATTCACAAGGTATCAAAGTCTCATATCATTCCCAAGTTTACTGCCCATCTCCAGTAAGCCTTGAACTCTATCAGTGATCATGTCAACTGGCAGTCTGAAAGTTGTCACTATATATATCTGACAGCCAGAACATTTCATTTCTCTACAGTTACCAGCTCTTACTGTAGACTTAAAAAAAAAGCTTCAACACTGAAGTCTCTTTTAAGGAGAGTAAACGAAAATACTGTAATATTTACTTCTTGTACAGCCATCCCATAAGTAAGAGAGAATCAAAGGTGGTTGTTATAGTGGGAGAAGTTGAAAATTTATCCAGTTAAAAACAGTGGATTCTCACAAACCCACAAATTTTTAAAGGAACCCAATATGCTTTTCTTCAAGTACATGAAGTCCTATATCTAGACAGCATTATACCTTAACCATGGCCATCTTGTGAATTCCTTAACAAGACTTTCAAATAGTGGCCAATAGGTTGAATGGCTGTAGCAGAGATAGGGAATTCAGAAGAAAACTTACAAAGAAGGAAGAAAAGCAGCCTTTCAGATCTAGTGCTTGAGTACAGTACCTTCTAAATTCATTCCTGTCCCCGGCTTGCATGAGTGCCACAATTGTATTTGTAACTGAGGTACCAATGTTTGCCCCCATTATGATAGGAATAGCTGATTGAACAGTCAGCACTGGAAAGCAGAAAAGGAAGCACTGAATTAAAAAATCAAATCATCAGCAAGCTCTTTGCTCCAATGAGAATTAACGTTGATTAATGTCACTGGAACCCTAATTTCCCTTGTTGTCACTGGGATTAGGGGCTCCAACCCAGATATGTTTACTTTAATCAAGCCCCCTGGGAACGTGGTACTTCTGTAGTCCTGTGACCCCACTGAAACTGCAGCCCATGGTTATCCCTTTTCACCAGATGTTAGAGGGCCAGATTAGATACAGTTTCTTCTTTCCCAGGCATTTTCCTAATTACTGTAGAATTTTGAAATGATGCCTCAGAAGCAAATGAAGTTCAGTAACTGGCTAAGAGGAGAAAAGTATGCAGATACTTCAGAATTAATGCATTCAGTGTCAGGGCTTCCAATGTTTTTCACTGCAGTTGTGGACTTTACTACTACTACTACTATTACTATTTAAGAAACTATTCCAGACCACCAGCTGTGACAACCTTTTCCTGCCACCTCTACTCTTACACCCAATAGCTTCTGTAATTTGAACACAGATGGGAATATCTGCCCCCCCAGTCCAAGATTTGTGAGTGATCTGGGGGAAGACAGTGTAAGCAGACTTACGTGTGGAGGACACCATGCTGACCACAATGGATGAAGAAGTGCTGGAGCTCTGGACCATAACGGTCACCAGAACGCCGATCACCAACCCCGCAACAGGATTAGACAACACTGAATCATCTTGAAAAATGTCCCCTGCTGCTTTACCTACAAAAACCACATTCTCAGTGTGAGGGAAGTGTGAGGTAAAATCCATAGGAATTATCAGAGCATTTAATTAAAGATCATCCAACCATTTAATTGAGATACATATACAAACAAAAAATATGCAAGATGATGTAGCCCAGGGGTCCAAATTCAGGTCCTGAACTTTCAGTTTCTCAGTTGTCAGATACTTTATATTCCCTCATTTCAGAGACTAAACAAGCTCTACTGAAATCTGAAGAGAACCATATAAAACCATATGAAACCACATAAAAACACAGCCATCAGAGGAAAGACCATAGGACAAAAAACTACAGATACATAGACTTAAATGTTGTTGCTGCCTTAATATTTTTGGTTACTGCATCAAAAAACCCACCCTATTTTAATAATCCTGAGTAATTCTGTTCCCACAGCTTTCTGTGTGGCCAAAAATAAAAAATACCTCTACAAAAACTCATGTATTTCTCTGATATCCACTGCTGAATCCATCAGCAGAATTAAGCCCTTGAAGACAGGCAAAATGCATTTCAATAGTTTCTGTCTTTGAAGGATTTGGGGGATCTTCCAGTGCTGGGTGCTTTGATCAAGAGTGCAATTTTTGTATTTCACCTTGTTGAAATGTCTTTCACATGGGATAGTTTTTTCGGCAGATGTATTCATGTAAACTGTCACTAAAGTAACAGGAACCGTCTATGAAAGTGAGGCCAATAATTCCTATATCAACAGCTCTCTGGAATTTGAGAAACAAAGGCCCCTTCAAACAAATGAAGGTCAGTCTTCAATCAAAGCTACTTCCTTCTGAATCTGTAACACAACACATAAATCTGGAGAATGTTCTTGAAAAGTGGCACTTGTAATTTAGTCACTGAGATGAAATTTACTGCCTAATTTATATTTTATTCTTGATGGTTTAGACATTTTCATACCTCCTACTAGTTGAAAAGCAGAGCTCAGTACATCCAGAGAACACACGAACATGTAGAGCAATCCAAGTAGCATAATAAACTTTCCTATCCCATAGAGCACGCGAATGATTTTTCCTTTTCTATCCAGTTCTGCAAAACAAATATATTATGCATGAGACTTGCTTGATGTATCTGGTGTTCTGGAACTGTCTGCACACAAGCAGAGAATAGGAAGTCAAAAGACAGTGTTGTGACTGCAGTGTGTGATTAAACCTGAAAGAATGTTCTTCTTAATCAAACTTTAACTGCAGAAGCAGGTGGTATGTTTACCTAGTTTTACCATGTAAAAGCATTTGGTATATGACAAAAGCCTTGTGAAGTCTGAGATTGACCCTTGGTTTTAGACAGTCATCCTACTGAATAAAGAAAAACCAATGCGCGCCTGGATATAAAACCATACTAATTTTGGATCGTTTTCCATAAATTCCTTGTGTTTTAAGGAGAGTAAGCAGCATGATTTCCAAATTCTTAACTGACTAAATATAATATCCCCATTTACTGTTGGGGAAGATGAGAGAAAGTGTAAAGTCTACATAGAATCATAGAATAGTTAGGGCTGGAAAGGACCTTAAGATTATCAAGTTCCAACCCCCCTGCCATGGTCAGGGACACCTCACACTAGACCATGTCACCCAAGGCTCTCTTCAAATGATACATTCAATTCTGCAGCAAGTATGATTTCAGAAAAATAAAGGAGACAAAGAGAACAGAATTAGTGGAAAAAATAAATGCAGGTAACTTCTTTACTGAGAAACGGCTACCTGACCACTTGATCCCAGTATCCTGCAGTTCTGGCAGAGCCCATGGGTCTTCTTCTTCTTGCCTGGTCTCATCTATCAAGGCTATTGTGGAAAATGCAGGTTGAATTTCCCCTTTATTTCCAAGTGAAGCCAAGTTGCCTGATAAAATAGAACATTAAATAAAACAGTTAAATTACTTTCTGTCTTCTCCAAAGATCCACAAAATATATATAAATCTGTCACTCACAGGTGAGCACACATTACCTTTATGATTTTCTCCTTCCTTCCCAGCCATGTTCTGGTTTTGTTTGGAAGAGTCCCCAATATAGTTATTGGTTTCAGGCTTTTCCACCTCAGGCCAGGGAGCCATGATCTGTGACTAACAAAGTAGTGCTGATTTAAATGTGTGTGCAGTCAAAATATTCAACTTACAACAGCATACATACGAAAAATATTATTAAGAGCAAAAGAGATGGAAATAGAACAGAAGTAATATGTCCTTGAATAAAGCTTTTTAATGACCTTTTAAAATTCATTTTATCTCCTTTCAGCAAAAAGTTGGAGGACCATTTCTTCCACCTTCTGGATTTAACTGACTGCATTTACCAAACTGGTAAACCTTACCAAGACCTTAGCAAAGAAAGTTCTTCCCTAAAGCATTGCCTTGTTTAGGTCACGTATGCTAAACACAGTCTTCTTGTTGCCTTTACTGGTTCATTCCCGTGGAAGTATTGAGGAGAACATGACCCTGGACATGGTGGAGAAAGACCACAGAGTTTCAAGTTCCAGGATGATGGTTGCTGAATGAGGGGAGAAGAGCATAATTAGGCAGCAGTGGCCATTTGCAGGTCTATATTTGCCTGTAACTCAGAGCTGATGCTGCAAAGGAAGCTGAGTTACTGGCAGCAAGGTCAGCTCACGCATCTCAAATACGCATCTCTCTGTATGAACCTGTTAATTCCTGACCCTTTTGAGCATATTTGACGTGGATTGTTGTATTAATAACTTAAAAAATAAGACATCAGATGGCCAAAACTGGCCAGCACAGGTACAAGTGCATGATAGACCTAGCCCAGGCACAGAAGGAGAAGGCAGCCATTCCTTCAACCAAAGCCTGGAAAAGTCCTACTGATTTACTTCACCAATATCAGAAGCCAGAAGGAGGGTCATGAAAGAGGGGAGGGTGACCGTGGGGAGATAAGCTAGCATATGGTAATTCCTCTGCCTTTCCAAGCTTGTAAGGCTGTTGGTTAGCTCAGCCAGCATGATCAAATACTCAGTGGAAGAGGTGGGAGAAGTGAACCCTACCCAGAAAGGCCTCACCTTTGGGTCTGTCTCTTCCACCCTCTCTGCCACACAAGTCAATCAGTGCTGGGGGCAAAGCTGCCCACAGGTACCACGTCTGGCACCCACACAGCTGGAACATCTGAGGTGAGAAATCTGCCTGCAATACTCCTCATAAACAGGGCACATGCACCCAGCCTCCAAAAGCCAGTGCCAGGGTTGGTATCACACTCCCGTAAACAAGGTTCACCTGCATTTAGCAGCCACTCTAAAGGAGTATAATTAATCATTCATTTAATCATAATCCATTATGTAGCTGATGCTGGAAATGTTTTGTGCCTTCCTATGTCAATAAGCACACATCCTCCTCCTTTAGTTGGGGAGGAAATGTCACAGACAAAATCGCTCATCTGCTACTGTAACAGAGGAGGGTATTATTTTTTGGTACTCCAAAAAGAAAAGAGCGTCTCCCCTTCAACATTAATAGGAAAAATTATTCTACAATCGCATTAGTAAAAACTTTGATTTTACAAATTCTTTATCTGTGGCGCAAGATCTAGAGCAGCTCCCAAGATACACAAAGAAAGACTGCAGAAGAGATGGAAGAAAATCACCCTTGCTTGTTTCAACAAGAGTTATCATTTGCTTGGAGCAAATTCCCATATTTTCCCCCATGCCAGAAAAACCTCCAAGCCCCACCCATGCCAGAACACCTCCATCTTGTTAAACAAGTTTCATTTATACATGTTCAGCAATTAAAGAGCTCTAAAGAAAATAACTGCTCAGCACAAGTGCTCCTGAAGTGAAATGCAGTCGTGAAAATGCATTGGAAATTCAGATGGAAGTTGCATCGACAGCATATTCCCACCATGGACAGACACAGAATATGCTGGACACCACCATACCTAGAGATGCCATCAGTACTTCTACAGCTCTTCTGTTACGCTCAGTATGGAAATGAAGGATTCAGCCTGCATGAACACTGTATGGAAACTGAGCTGATGCACTCACTGGAGAAACTGGAGCTTGAAAACGTCAGCAGACAAACAGCCTCAATGTCTCCTAAATAAGCTCTCCCCATTCAAGAATTCAGCAGGGCATTTTTTCATAATAAGCATCTCCCATATTCCTGAAGTGCTCAGGATCCCACAGGTACGTCATGTATTACTGGTTTTGCTTTATGGGATTAAATACCATAGAATGAGAACTGACCACATCCATGGAGGAAGATTTTTTGTAGGTATGTTTATAAAATCATTAGAGCCCTAGTCAACTTCTGATTTGGGAAAGTAGACTTGAATACTGGAGGTCTCTACAGTGTTTGCCTTGTGCACTTGGGTTTGCAGGGGTATAACTAGAACAGCCAATTCTGTGTGATTGGTATCAAGGACAGATGAAAGCAGAACCTCCTAGATCCTGAAAGCATCACCAAAGCTGTCAGTTTTCTCCAGATCCTGACTCTTGTTAAGAGGAACAGCTGAGAAGCTAGTTTAGAGCCACCTGATACTCTGCTAGAGTCCTGGCCACAGCTGCTTACTGTTAATTAATCACTGGGCTACAAGGATAATCTACATTCTACAGTTTTCCCTTCAAAGAACTCTTGCTTGGCCCAGATACAGACATTGACATCTTTAGAAAATACTCGGGGGATAACCTGAGTGCTGTGGAAGAGCAGAGCAGTGAGGTGACAAAGCTAACTGCATCAGTCTCTGACAGCTCACATGAGCCTTTGGAAAGCCTGATGTCATGATATAAAAGACCAACAACATTGACGCAAGATGTACATGACAATGAAAACCCTAATAGTAGCTCTCTTTTGAACACCAAGGACATAACTACACTGTGAAAGAGCATGTTACAGAACAGGCAGAGGATGGGCTGGTGACAACGCACACTGCATCAAGGAGCTACACTCAGCTGGACACACCAGTACAGGTCCAAAGGAAGGATAGCCACAATTGCTGGATGAGGTGACAGGAGTGATGAGCTTTGCCCATCCCTGTGCCAGCCTGGGTGTCTCAGTGTCATTCTTCTGGTTCCCACCTGAGCTGGCAAGAAGCTGGCCAGGACATCTACATCCAGGGCACAGTCATGGAGCTCACGTCCAGGTAAGCACTGGTGCTTTGGATATCCACCTGTTCAGAGCCGTGATGAAACGGGAGCTAATTTCCTCCTGAAAGTGGCAGGTCAAAATACGCTATGCATATTGCAAAGGTCTGAAAACTAATGCCTGCGCAAACTGTAATCCAGTCTGGTTGGGTGAACCTCGTGGCAAATCCTCTCACACCATCGTGTGTGCTCCTTTTGTTGTAAGTATAGTCTTTCCTCGCCTTTGGAAAATGCTAAATATGTGTGACATCCTTTCTAACTCCAAAAGAAACTGAAACCTCCTGCTCCTACAAGGGAGATAGATGGAAATCAATGGCATTCAACTTCTGAATTAAAACATGAGAGAAACTCAAAGTCGGCTCCTATGATTTAGGACAGCATTTAGTTATGGATAATTTAGTTATGGATATAAATCCATACTGACTCTCTCACCGCAGCATTTCAAAGAGTTAAAAGTCTCTTGGGAATTATCTGAGCAACACTAGGTGTCATGCAGGTGCCCTATATTGCATTCCTCAGTGACTCATTTACTGTAACAGCATTGCCTCTGTAGCAGGGCTAGGCTCTCAGTGCTTCTCAGCTTTAAATCAGAAACAGTAGGAAGTGTATTTATTTTGCTGGACTTCACACAGAGAATATGAACTGCCACTTCTCTGTGCCTGGATGGTATTGTTTGTACCTCTCCACCCGTGACAGCTCACTGAGAGGCCACATTGTGCCTGAAATAAGAACTACAAAGCAGTAAGCCTTAAAGAAATCTCACCTCCAGGGGAACAGCCCCAGTGAATTTCCAAGAGGAAGTAAAAGTACTGGAAAAAAAATCAGTATTTTCAAAACCAACTGGTAATCACTGCAACAACCACCAACATGACCATGCATGTGCCTAGAAGTTGCTTCAGCAGCTCCAAATTGATTTTGGGTTCAGCCAGGCTTCCCCTTCTCTGGCTCTTCTTGTCTCACAGCTTTTCTACAAACCCTTAACTTTCTTGTCATTCACCAATATGCTACAGTTTGTATGTTAAAAAGGGATTTATCAGCTAGTCGGATATCCAATACACCACATACTTCATAGGAGTAAATACCAAGCCATGCAGCAATCCTTATACACAGTTTGAAAAAATACTCTTCCCCCCCCCCCCCCAAAATGCATCATTTCCAACATAGAAGCACATTATGTAGAGACAGGAAAGATCCTCAGCCAGCACAGATCCATTCAGTAGCTTTACAGTAGCTGATAATTTTGCTCCCAGAACCTGTTCCATGGCAGCCACAGAGCCCCAGGTGCGACAGAACAGGCAGCGACTTAAATAAACAGCAGCAATGATTCAGCCTTGCTAGCAGCAAGTCTTGACTTTGCTCTGGCACCAGCTGCCTCCTTGGGGGTTTTCTCTGAATAAGCTAGAAGGCTTAGCCAGGATGTAAACTTTCAGCTAATGTAGTAGTCAGGGGATAAAAACATGCATGAAAGATAAGAGAAAAACGAGCATTGTGCTCACTGTTTGTTCCTACAGATCCCAGAGTCTTATTGTTCACAGGCTTGAATCTAACACATAGCAAAACTAACAAAAACCCAGCAAATCCAAAACAAAACCCACATAAAACAAGCTAGTAAAGAGAACTAATTTCTAAACAAGTGAAGAGAAAATGGATCCCAAACATTAATTTCTGCACTCACAACAAAGCAAAGCACCAGACACTGCCTCTGGGGACCCACAGTCAGGAATCCTCAGTGAACTCCTTAAAATGCTTACTAGGTACTTAAATAAAACAATTTACTTTTTTAAAATAAAACAACATCAGCAACAAAATCCCACCCACAAGGAAATACAGATACAGATACAAGGAGATACAGATCTACCCCATCCCGAGCACAAAACACAAAGAATCGAGAGAGGAAAAAGTAATGGCATAAAAAAGACTTACTGGTCTAATGGAAGAGGTGCTAATAAAAGTTGAGAAACCAGTTGAATTCTGCCTACTGCCACATTAGTTGAGCTAACTGCATCAGACTAATGTATTCCTTTTACTGCTGTGTATCAAACCAAATTAGCATCAGAAAATGTTTCCATCAAGAATAGCCTGACACGGCCATACTGCAGCACACAGACATTACACACTATCTATGCTAACACACAGACTGACAGTATTTCCTTCCAATGTTTCATTAATCATACCCTAGACATTTTCCAGTATCCAATGCCACTGAATGCTATGGCTTAAAAACCTCACTTCTTTTCAATCCAAATAATAGTTAAAACAATACTTTCTTATGCTATAGGCAGTATTTTCCTGTGGGGGTTTTGGTTTGGGTTTTTTTGACAGCTGCAAATAAAATGCTTTTTTCCTTTATCATATTCCAAAAAAATAAATCTAGTTTTTTGCAGGCAGAAAGTAGAACAGTTTGTTTTCAGAACGACAATTTTTTTATCACTTCCTTAAAGTAGAAATGCAGTTGAAAGAACAGAAGCTGAAAATGCTAACAAGTGGATGACATTTCACATGCCACTCCGGTTCTCCATGTTAGAGCTCTGTTGCCATCCCTTGGCAGAGCTTTAGATTTGTAAGCTAAACAAGTTCGAAAGAGAAGGAAGGAAAACTTGGTCTCAGTTTTCTTACTTACCACTTCTTTATTCCCAGACCACAGAGCGAATGGATCAGCTGGGCAGCCACTGAAACCTGCAATATATATAGACAGGTGTTGAGCAAAGTTTGCTTTCATCACTGCGCACTAACATTCCTATTTTACAGTCCAGAGGCACTGCCTACCTGCAGCTTGATGATCACAATCAACCTTTTTTTAGCAGTAGTGGGCAGCAACCAAGACTGATAAAACTATGGGCTATTTCACACTTATCACATTCTAAAAAATGTCCCATCAGCATTTAAATACAAGTTACTAATGTGTTCATGTGAATGCTGGGGAACGGTTTGTTCCAGCCTGGAAAATTGCCCTCCGCCTGATCATTCAGTAATCTTTTTTCCAATAATAATTTTCCAAAAATATTTTGCAATCTCAAAAGTCTGTCAAAAGGGTGTGAAGAAGATGTAGTACAGTTATTTGTCTGTTCAGGTGCCTATTAATCTGCTAAGAACAGAAGCGAAGGAGAATCTGATAAAAAGCCGTGTAAGTAGGAAACACGTAAGAACTTCTTTGAGAACAGAGGATGGAGTTTCATTCTTATCAGTGCTCAGTGTTTACAATTAAGGCAAGCTCATTAGCATTTTGGCTGTGGATCTCATTCTAAATGAGATTTAAAGATGCAAGGACACCTCTGATAATTGCATTCAGAACGCTACCAAGGAAGAAGACTATATGATAAATAGGTGCATTATTCAATACAGTGTGGTATTACAGATTAGACAAAGCAGCCACTACACTGCTGTCTGTTCTACTGATGAGCTTAATGAGGAGCAGGGAGAGGGGGGCTGCATTAGGCACTGTAGCTTTATTAACTCTGATTTTTTTCTGTTTCAACAGACATCATATACTGAGAAAATAAGCTGTAAACCAGCAGCCTAATCAGCAGATCTGCTTTGTCTGCGTGTATGGGGTCATATCTCCCAGCAGCTTAGTGACTTAGTAACTTAGAAAAATAAAACTCTTGCTTTTTGCACCTTTCAGCCCCACAGAGAAGCGCAGCCTTTGGAGCTGTGAGTCAGAACTTACTCCTCTCCTGCGTCGGCATCAGAATTTTTAATAAGTGGTGATCGTAAAAGCCTCCACAGCCCCATACGCAGCATCACATCATCGCAGTGGAACCAACAAGCACCTCCCCTGGC